TTTTTTTTTTTTTTTGAGACAGGATCTCAAGTATGTAGCCCAGGCTAGCCTTGAATTAAGGGACTCTTCTCACCTCAGCTTCCTTAAGTTCTGGGATTACAGGCATGAGCCACCATGTTTTAAGACAAAGTCTGACCGTTACCTAAACTCTTCTCAAAATCCTGGGCCTAAGTAACCAGCTCCTCCCCCTTAGCTTCCCTGGTAGCTGAGACCATGGACACGTACTGCAGTGCCCATCTTCAGGATTGGCCTAATACGTCTCTTTTCCCAGTGGCTTGGACATTGCCTAGCCTTGCTCACACTGTCCTATATCTGTGTGGTCACAGAGGTGTGCATCATCGTCTGCGTATCCATAATGTGTTTTTATGTGTTTGCTTTATAACCAAATTAGGTTAGAAAACAGTACAAGCAGACACATGCTTGTGATCTAAGACATTTGGGGGTGGTGCAGAGTAGCTTAAGCTCAAGTCCATTGGAGGCTACATGCCAAGACCTGTCTTTAAAAAAAAAAAGCAGAAGACACCAGGGTTAATTTCTATCTTCTGTTCCCCAACACTTTGTACAAATCTTGCCGTGTTTGCTGGAGCTGTTGATTTCTGGTAAGTGTTGCTTGTAGCAGAGATTGTGATCCATCACTTTGTAACCATCTGGATTCAGCATAAGATCTGGTTTCAACTAGGAAAATAGGTGTGAATAGAATAGATGGCTGTGCGCTGAACATCAGGGTCCTGCCTCCTAAGGCCTGGACTAGGCAGTCTGCCAGCTGCTTTCTTTGTGCTTGGGCAAAGCAGGAAACACCCTCTGCTATAGGCAGGATAATTGACGATGTAGTTATTTTCCTAAACAAGAGGTAGCAATAGCTGGCCCTCTGCTGGAAAGCCAGTTATTTTCCTAGGTGTGAGGTGTTGGCGGGGTTCTCTGCTGAGTAAAGTCTTCCATTCGACTTCTCTGCCTCTGCTTGTCCTTCCAGAGTCCCCTGGAGTACAGAGCTATTTCCAGGCAACCTGACTCACAGTCACTTGCTGTCTTGCAGGTTGATTCACCCCAATAGTGGCCGGTCGTACCATGAGGAGTTCAACCCTCCAAAGGAGCCCATGAAGGATGACGTACGTTTGTTTGTTTTTCCCTTCCTCCTATCACTTAACCAGAAAAATATGTCACTGTTTTGTAAATGAGATGGCTGGTGACAGATCTGGACAGAATCTCCAGGTGGCTTTATGTTTATCCCCTGTCACAGCAGCCCATTCCTGGCACCATGGCCAGCTAAGCAGTTGTCCTGTCGGGAGAATGTTGCCAGGAGGTGGCCTGAAGAGAACTTTGCTGACCATTGTGCTCCAGAATGCTCTGTGCTTGGAGTACCCAGTGACTGCTGCCATGGGGTCTCATCCATGGTCACAGAGTCTACATGGTCTTTGTAGAGCATGTAGGCAACAGGGGCATATTCCCTGGGCTCCCCTTGTCGTGTGAGATAAACACAGGTCGTCCAAGGTCTATAAATAGAGGCCACGGTTCAGAAAGTTGACAATTCTACCGGAGTCCTTTCTCACTTCACTTGCTGCTTTTATGATGTTAGTGGGTGATGCTCACTAATTAGGCTAAATATTTAAGCAGCTAAGACTGCAGTTGCTAATGCAGCAGATTGGGATGTATTCTCCCAGTTTCCAGGGCCTCCCTCTCCTTCCAGCTCTAGAAGGCCTTGTGTTAGAAGTTGAGTGGCCTAAACACAGACCTATAGGCAAAAAGCATCCCTATTTCTGACCCCCAGCCTGCTTCCAGGGCCTCCTGCGTGAACAGGCTATGGGATCAGCCAGCATCCCAGCAGAGTGGACAGCTCTCGTGACTGTCCCACCGTTCCTTCTTTTTCATTTTCAGATCACTGGAGAGCCCCTGATCCGAAGATCAGATGACAATGAGAAGGCCTTGAAGATCCGCCTGGAGGCCTACCACACGCAGACCACCCCACTTGTGGAGTACTACAGGAAACGGGGAATTCACTCTGCCATCGATGCATGCCAGACCCCTGATGTTGTGTTTGCGAGCATCCTAGCAGCCTTCTCCAAAGCCACATGTAAAGACTTGGTTATGTTTATCTAATGTTGGGTTCTAAAGGGAATTTCTTTCTTCTTTCTGTCCCTGTCAAAGGAATGGGTGGGCATGTCTCGGGTGGCAGGAACACTTCCTCCCTCAGGCAGTGAGGGCATCTTCTAATGTACTGATTAAAAAGCACTTATTGGATGTATCTTATGTATGTGCAGCACTCATCTGTGTGTGTCTGCTCACTCTCTTACATTCTGTATCTTGGGCTAATTTGTTTTACCAGCGGTTTACTTTTCTTACCATACTTTTCTTTTTATCATTTTTAAGAATTAGCATACAAGGAATTAGATATCATTATGGCCCTTTTTTTTTTTTTTTTTTTTTTTTTTTTG